GTCAGTGCAGTTACCCTGGTGTGAAACTGGTGTAAACTCAGGATGAAGCTCATCCGCTTTGACTAGATGTTACTCAAGTTTAAAAGGAAATATTACTATCCTCTGTCTAATCTAATCTATCATCTTTCTAGGTATGCTGCCCCCTCCTGTGGTATCTGTTGCTCAGTACAACATCCAAATTCATGACGTAGGAAATGCTTTTCATCATGAGCAAGCTTCAAAATATATTTTTTAATGTTTTTAAGAGAGATGGGGCTGAACTATCCCTCACCCCAGATCAAAGCACCACTGAACTTTGTGGGCTCACAATCTACACCTGAATGTTCCAGTTGAAGCTATTTCTAGTTTTCAGTTGAAAAATAAGAGGGCTAGTTAACAAACCTGAAATTCAGGCCAGCTTAGCTGAAAGTTTGGCTGATGTTTGCAAACATCCCAGTGAGCTGATTTATGATTTTGTCACCCAAGGCCTGGGAGATATGTGGCTGTTTTGAGGTTTCTAGAAAAACTTGAGCATGAGAGTGGGGGAACCAACACTTAAGTATAGATTCACCCCCGTCTTCTCCAAGCCATAATGGCTGAGTTGTCAGCCCCATGTGGCCCTGTGCTTTGGGGACCATGCACTTCCTGGAATGTAGGGAAAAGAGAAGACTGACAAGAGCCCTGTGATCTGGGATCCCTGCAGAACCCCCATCCCAGATGCCAAACTCCTCTGCTGCTCCTTCTTGCCGTATCACGAGAGCACAGTTGCCAACTTTAACACGATAAATAAGCACCCTGACTTTCACTATTAGCCAAAGATCAAGCTAATCCCATTTCAAAACAAGGCCAAAACAAGCCAATCCCTAAGAACCCCAACACTCTATGTGTCTAGATCCCCCCAGTGTGAAGTCTGGGACTGTGGTGGGCCCACTGTGCATCCCTGACTATCTCCCCAACTTGTCCCTGCTTGCCGGGAGCCGATCAAAAAAAAGAAGCAACAAGCTACAAGCCAAAAACTAGTCAACAAGCAATTCACAAGCCAATTAAGCCAAAAACAAGCCCAATTTCTGTGTTTTTTTCAAGGGTTTGACATGTCTGCAGGAGAGTCAACCCAAGCCCTCCAGATGCCAAAAGCCTCTTAACCACCCCCCTGATAAGCACCACCACCACGCTCCCCAGGAACAAACCCAGCTAGCCGTCAATCGCTTCTCCGAATCCAGATGTGCAAATTCGGAATGTCTGCTTGAGCCCCTGGTATATGAACCCCTGGCTAGTTTTGATTGTGGTTGATGAATTGCCCATGCTGAGAAGCTGTGATTTTATCAGTGCTACTGTCCTGGGTGTTTTGGGAACTAAGGGAGGGATCTTGGGGATGTTATGATCAGAATGAATGTTGTACATTTTTAGGGCTGCTTCACTAACAATAAATCCACTCTGACCAGCAACCCAAATAAGGTGTGGCATAGAGGCTGCGAGGGGTTTGATTGGTGAGAGCTCTCTGCATCTAAACAGGCAAAATTAAAGCTTCTGTTTCTGTTCTGGTGGGGGTAGAAGAGGACGCTTCCTTGCACAAGTTGCATCTCACTCACAGAGGTTTAACATGAAGACTGTCCTGCTTGTCACTGCTCTTCTCCTGATGAATTTGATGACTGAAACCTTTGCTACAACGGTAAGACCAGCCCAAATGATTCAGGTGGAGACCAAATTCCACCGAAACCACATTTGGGTCAGCTGAACCCTAATCAGCGAAATGGGACTGGGTTCTGGGGGAACTGATCAGGATCTATTTGTCTCTGTCTTCCTATTTTATTGTATCTTTCTAATGTATAATTTACCTTAATCTAATTCAATCTGTTTTTTATACCATGCTCACCCCCATCTGGGCCGGCTTTAGGAAGTGCGGGGCCCAATTCGAACAGTTTCGACGGGGCCCCGGCAGGGATGACTAAAAAAAAACCACGTAAAAAAAACAAGTGGGGCTTATACTCACCGGGCGGCGCTCCTAGTCTTCGGCGGTGGGTCCTTCACTCACTCCGGGTCTTCGGCGGCACTGAAGGACCTGCCGCCGAAGTGCTGCCGAAGACCCGGAGCGCCGCCGGGTGAGTAAAAATTAAAAAGGAGCCTCTAGCCAGGGAAGGGATTCTCGGCCACTTCTCCCCCTGCCACTGGGCGCAGGGCCATCTTAGGCGCAGGGGCCCGATTCGGGGGAATTGGTGGAATTGGTCTAAAGCCGACCCTGACCCCCATAGTATCTGAGCATCACATGAATTTTAAAAAGACATTTTATTTACCAATATTGTTTATATCTTAATTTCTTTCCCTCCAGCTCCACCCATAGATGTTATTTATTATTTGTCTTACCATAGCACTTAATGCTATGTCCATTGTGCTAGGTGTGGTACAAACAATTATCTATCTATGGTATGTCTCTGTCCCTCATTACCGTAGCAGCTCACCATCTTTAATGTATTTATCCTCACAACACCCCTGTGAGGGAGGGAGGTGCTATTATCCCCAGATTGATCCCCAATCTCTCCCTTCGCCGGTCCCCTGCATCTGTAAATTAAACAATCCCAGGCCTTTCAATCTCTCCTCATATGGAGGGAGGTCTTTCCAGCCATCTAAGTATTTTTTGTCTCCAGTCTCTAGACCCACTTTGTTCTAGAGACAGTGTGACCCACCCTGCATATCACTCACCAATTTTGCCACCTCCTTGCTCAACTCCCTCTCCAGATCATTAGTAACTATGTTAAACTGTGGCCTCCCAGAGCCTGGATCTAGTAATTTTTCAGGTAATTTTTCAGGCATGCTGCGAAGCCCATGTCTTCTTGTAGGCTGTTAAGGCGGTTGGGGCTGAGCAGGGTCTCATGTTACGGCTGAATAAAAGGATCGGTGTTTTTCTTTGGTGGGAGAGTTTCTCAATGGTATTTGAATTACTGGAAATGTCAAATGAAATACTGTATGGCTCCATGTGAGATATTTAACAATGAGTTTAAAATGCTGAGAGGTGCCTAGAGAGGTGACTAGGTGGTGAATAAACTGAATAAATCAACAGGCTGCGAGCACAAGTCCCTGTATTTGCAGGTGTAGACAGCGACTAATCAAAGATAATAATAAGGACTCAGGCTCAACTGCTCATTTTGTTTAAGACCCCACCCCCCAATCCTGTAGTTTTTGGCATGTTGACAGATCCCTGCAGCCTCCCAGAGCCCTGCTGACTTCAACGGTATCAGCGCAGGTAGAGGCTTTGGAGCCTTAGGGTATGGCTACACTACGAAATTAGGTCGATTTTATAGAAGGCAATTTTTTAGTGTCTATGCGTGTAGGTCAGGGGAGGGCAAACTACGGCCCACGGGCGGGATTCGGTCTGCGAGCCGTTTTAAGCCAGTCCATGAGCCACACCACACAGCTCGGCCCTGCTCCAGCATTCCAGCCGGGGCGCTGGGTCGGGGGCCGCACCACGCGGCTCGGCCCTGCTCCAGCACTCCAGCCGGGGCGCTGGGTCGGGGGCCTCACCACGCGGCTCGGCCCCACTCTGGCCGAGGCGCAGGGTCGGGGACTGCACCATGTGGTTCCCGGAAGCTGCGGCATGGCCCCGCTCCAGCTCCTATGCGCTCCAATGGGAGCCGGAGAAGGGACATGTCACTGCTTCCGGGACACGCTTAAGGTAAGTGCTGCTTGGAGCCTGCACCCCCCAAGCCTCTCCCCACGCCGCAACCCCTTACCCCAGCCGTGATCCCCCTCCCACTCTCCAAACCCCTTGATCCCAGCCCAGAGCACCCTCCTGCACCTCAAATCTCTCATCCCTAGCCCCATCAAAGAGCCCGCACCCCCAGCTGGAACCTGCACCCCTTCCCGCACCCCTCGATCTCCCTCCCATCCTCCAAACCCCTCAGTCCCAGCCCACAGCACCCTCCTACACCTCAAACTCCACATCCCCAGCCCCACCCCAGAGTCCTCACCCCCTCCCACACCCAACCCCAAATTTGTGAGCATTCGTGGCCTGCCATACAATTTCTATTCCCGGTTGTGGCCCTTGGGCCAAAACGTTTGCCCACCCCTGTGCTAGACACTCTGGTAATGGAACCAGATGAGTACCTAAGATAGACAGAATTCATTCTTCAGGACATACGTCAACCCTTAACTAATGGGGGTTCAGAAGAAACTTTCTCTATGGACAGGTCATTCTATATCTGCCTACTGCAGGGTTTCTTGCACCTTCCTCTGAAGCAGCTGGGACTGGCCACTGTTAGAGACAGGAGCCTTGGCTAAATTGCCCCTAGTCTGATAGAGTCAGGTAGTTTTGATGTTCCTCTTTTGGCCCTTCCTTTTCCATTGTTTTCCCAGTGCTCGGGTTCTGCTCGGTGTGATTTTTTTCCCAACCATTTTTCTCTGCCGCTGAGCTCAGCGTTCCCAGCCTGCCTCAGTGGGGTGGGAGCAGGGGCGGCTGGACTAGATGGCCTCTTAAGGTCTCTTCCAGCCCTGCTTTTCTATGATCACTGGGTCCCCTCCCATGTCATGGTCTAGTTCCACAGCCACTGCTGTTCCCAGAGTCCCCACAGACCTCTGGGTGGCAGATAAATGGGTTCCTCGTCTCCCCCACACACACACTTTCCAAGGGTGTTTTGCTAGATGAAGTATGAGAATAAACAACACGTGACCGATGGTAATCATGTCACTTACTGCTGGGAGGTGCTCAGGCACACATGGAATAAGACCCTACAGAGAATAATAAATAAAAATAATGGGACAAAATGAAGAAAGAACTAAATTCTTTTCCAGTTGCACTGGTGCAAATCTAGAGTGGCCCCAGAGAGGATGTCCACTGACTTGCTCCAGGTTTGCACCAACGTAACCGAAAGGCGAAACTGGCTCAGAAAAGATAGGCGAAGCTCCCATAGAGTGGGCTGGTCTGACGGGGAAGTGGCAGAAGTTCCTACAACCGAGTTGATTGTGCAAAGCGCCTCTGTTAGTCTTTAAGGTGCCACCAGACTCCTTGTTGTTTTTGTAGATACAGACTAACATGGCTACCCCCTGATACTTGCCAGCAGGTCTCGTCCGTTTCTCCTTTCTATAGTTCGCTCTTCTCTGTCTCTCTGGATTTCCCCCTCAGTCAGTGCACTGGTCTGCAAAAGGAGACCTGCTACATAACAGGAAGCTGCTTTCAGGGCTGGAATTGTTTTGTTCACACAATGTCATGCATGCACTGGAAACAACAGCCTTGAGGTCTTGGCAGCACAGTGGCGGAGGCTTGCAAGTCCTCAGCATGATACCTGCTCCGCTGGTTGGAACAGAGGACCCTTCTCGAGCCAAACGGGCCCAACTAGGGACACGTTCTAGCCGCAGAGAGAGCAGGGTGGGTCTAGGCAGCACGGCTTAGTAGAGTGAGCACATGGCTAGGATGGGGGGAGGAGGTTCTGAGCCCCTCACAGCCATTTGGTAGCATTGAGAAAGTCACTTTCCCTGTGTGCCTTAATTCCCTCCTCTGGGAAACAGGGATAATGACACTTATGTACCTACGGTGAGGACTGACTGGTTACAGTTTGTAAAGCAGCAGAATGAGGAGAGGAAGATACTGAGGATTCTTTAACACTGTCCCTTAGGGCAGGGTGGGAGCTGAGAATGGTGGTACTCTGCCCGCAGCCTCAGACTACATCCCCCACCAAGGGAACTGCATGTCTCTGCTACATGACATTTAAAATTCCCGTCCCTCTTGGCTGGGCAGGGTTCTCTGCCCCAGGGGGTCCCAGAGTCACAACCTGGGGCTGGATTTTAAAATGGGACGGATGCTGTTATGTATCCTGTGCAAGCTGAGATCAGGATAAACGACCCTCATGCTTCAAGACGTAAGCTGATTGCCTGGTGGGGTCAGGAAGGAGCTCCCACCACTGCCTATGCAGCATTGCACAATTGCTCACGTTCATTAAGGTTCTTTATCCCTTCCTCTGAAGTATCAGGCACTGCTCAGGGCCAGAGGCAGGATACTGGGTTATATGGACCAATCGGTTAGAGCCATTATGGCAAATCCCACATTCATATCTTGATCTGAATGAGGAAGGTCCAAGTATCCTCACAGCTACTCAGCATGGGGCTGCCTGGGAATGACACAGAGCCACTGCCTTACTCGAATAACCTTTCTGATTGCTCTTCCAGCAAAAAACCACGGTGTCACCCCAAACAAGCCTGGGCACCCCCTGCTGCGTCCCAGCTTCTCTTTTGCTGGTGTTTGCCTTGGCAGCAATTTACCTCCTCCGAGCAAAATGAGCCCCCACACTTCACTCCCCAGAGAGATGCCAACGCTGCCTTCTGCCTGCCACCAGCTCAGCCTCTCCTGCCGGGCACCCCGCTGGAGCCTGCCAATCCGCGTAACCCAGCCAGCATAACTGCTCCAGTTCAAGTCTTCCCGCAACACACCCACTGCGCACTTCTCTTCGCAGCCATCGGCTTCTTTCCCATCAGAGCCATTCGTTCCACCACCTGCGATGGAATCCCGGCAGCAGAGTCCAGCTTCGCATGGAGATTCCCATTAGGATCACATTGGAGAGGCAGACGCATGTCTCACCACAGCACCTGAGGAGCCTTGCCATTGATTGACCAGCTCCTGTGCAGAATGGGCCTCCCCAAGGAAAAGAGACCGAGATTGCAGCAAGGGTGTGTTTTGTTGCATGCTTGTGTATGTTAGGGTTACCATATTTCAACAATCAAAAAAGAGGACGGGAGGAGCCCTGCCCTAGCCCCGCCCCCGTCCTGCCCTAGCCCCGCCCCTGCCCCTTCCACTCCCTCCCACTTACCACTCCCTCAGAATCCCCAACCCTCCCCCCCACGCCTTGTCCCCTGACTGCCCCCTCCTGGGACCCCTGCCCCTAACTGCCCCCCAGGACTCCACCCCCTACCTAAGCCTTCCTGCTCCTTGTCGCCTGATTGCCCCCTCCTGAGACCTTCCCCACATCCTAACTGGCCCCCTAGGACCCTA